GGTATGATGTTTTTTTGCTCAAAAAATAAGTTTTGTAGTTTACGTGGAAAAACTTCAGTTTTTTGGTTCAAGAAACTAATGTGTTTATGTTGTTTACTCAAGAAAGAGTAAGAAACGGAAATTTCTTGGCGTTTCTTGGCAAGAAACCAGTTTCTTGCTGATTCTTGCCAGTTTCTTGGCAAGAAACCAGTTTCTTGCCAAGAAACCAGTTTCTTGCCAAGAAACCAGTTTCTTGCCAGTTTCTTGGCAAGAAACCAGTTTGTTGTCAAGAAACCGTGTTTGTTGTGTTTCTAAAAAAAAATTAAAATAATATTGATTGTTTCATGATTGTTAGGGGGATTGTTGGAGTTGGAGATGGGGCAAAGCTTGCCCTTGGAGCGGAAAAATTAACTGTCAGACAAAGCCTAAAGTAATAGGCTATATTAAGAAGCAATTAGGTGCTTGTGGCCGTCTTCGGGAGTTTGAAGAGTCTTGTTTTGGACATTTGTTGAGGTTTGATGGGCAAGCATACTACAGTGGGAGACTACTACTTGCCTTATTGGGTCGAGAGGTTTTTCTGCGTGACGCTCGAGAGAAGGAGCGTTGGTTTCGAATTAGAGATAACAATTATAAATTCGGGAAAGTCGAATTTTGCCAAATCAGTGGCTTGAAATTTGGTGGGTCGGAATTTATCCCCGAGGATAATGAGAGTTTACCGGCCATTGATGGGATATATCGACGCCACTATGATGAAAAGAGTGTGATAGGTGGTGATTTGTTGAGGGATTTTACGAACGGTCATTTTCAGAATAATCCCGATGACGCGCTGAAGGCTGCCATGATCTTGATTGTTCACTTTTTCTTATTTGCACCCGGCCCGAGGTCCGCTGTGCCACTTTGGCTTTGGACGTTAGTTGAAAATTCGGACATGTTCGGGAAATTTCCATGGGGCACATTTAGCTTTCAGCGTTTATACCATTGTCTCGATGGTATAAGTGCTCCAGATAACGGGTGCGATATTCAGTTGAACATCCATGGGTTTTTAATGCCTTTTCAGGTACATATACAATTTTATAATTGTGTCATTATTTTTTGTTATTTAGTTTAAAAAGATCATTTACTTTTTTTTTCTTAATAGATTTGGGCTTGTGAGATGATGCCCGATTTTGTACGAGGAGGTGGAATGGTATGTATCGGAAATGGCCTACCGAGAGGCACTCGGTGGATGTGCCCGAAGAAAAATTTTGTTCAGTTGTCTGACATTGATAAAGTCGAGGTAAATATATATGTTCTACATTAAAATTGTTATATAATTCTTGTTTTGAAATTATTCTTATTCTTATTCTTCTTTCTGTCAATTTTTTTTTTTTTTTTGGCATTTTCTTAATAGATTCAATGCATACCAATGTGTTTGACTGATGCCGAGAGGAATGCGCCATATATGGCTAATGTTGAATTGAACTTATCACTTGGGCTGCAATATATCCACCACGACTCGTGGAAGAGTTGTTGCAAGACTCTACGTGATGCCTCCTCGTCTTCACGTCATACACTTGCCACCAAAAAAAGGAAGCTTGGACAGCCGACCAACAGACATTCGAAGAAGCTGGCTGTAGAAGCAAATGATGAAGCTGAAGAAGAGATGGAGAGGGAGCCGAGAGAGCCTCAAAATGAGCCGAGGGAGCCTCAGAAGGAGCCAGTTGGAATGAACAAAGACCTAATCAAGCAATGGGTGGAAGAAGGCGTTTCAAATTGCATGAAAGAGTTGATGCCTTCGTTAGTTGAACAAACTTTACGTCAGGTCGTCCCCATTGCCATTGATCGGGTATTTCATGAGGTTTTTCGAAGATTGGATAATTATGGTATTTCGAGAGCTGGGGATAAAACTAGAGGAGCTGAGAGTCCATCCACTCCATACTTTGGTCATGGGGTAACTTCTTAACTTTTGCATTTCACGTGGCATTTTTTGACATTTTTCGTAAGTTAAAACTTTTTCATTCTTTGTAAAATGATGTCAAGCAGTCCTCTCAGGCGGCCTTCTCCACTCGAGGAGAATCAAGCGGTCGTCTCAATCCGGCGGTAGCAACTTTTGGTCATGGGGTATGTTTTTTGACATTTGCACATTTTTGAATTTTACCAGAAAATGAAATTTGTTTCTAT